TGTGTGTGTGAGAGAGAGAGAGAGAGAGAGAGAGAGAGAGAGAGAGAGAGAGAGAAACCACCAGCAGAAAAGCATCTGTGTTTGAGACAGAACATAAACACAGAGATGCATTACATGTGAACTTGTAGCACCAATAACACGATGAATGTATTTGTGTGTGTGTAAAGAAACAGCCAAGACTTTATTTGCATTTCAAAAGCCTATACACATATCCTCTGATCTCTAGACGACACACACACCCTGATTCAGGGTCTATGCTCAAGTTTGTTTCCATGGAAACCAGTACTTGAGAGGCTGTGCAATAGCAGGAGCCTTTTTCTTTTTCTTTCTCTCTCTCTCTATTGCTGGGTGAAGGATGGCATCAGTAAAATTGCATGAGGTTAAATGCGAATGCACTGTCACTGTAATCGCATCCGTCTTTCGCAGCCTCTTTCTGACCCTAAAACTTTTTTTGTTACTGAGTTAATCTTTAAGAGATGTAAAATGAGCTCCATTGTGATTAGCTAACCTCTGCATACTAGCAAATTTCACAAACAAACTTCTGTTTCATGTCTAACAGAGCAAGAAAAAAAGAATTTTTTCCATAATATGACTCTTTTTCATCCTGCTATGTATGTGTAAAAAAACTGTATATAATTTTAAAGCTATAGCCTTTGTGTATATATTTAAAGATGCGCATCTTTAAGCATGACAGCTGAAATTAAGTGGCAACACTTTAAAATAAGAGTCCATTTGTAGCATTAAGATTAATGAAAGCTGTGTAAGTATTGTTCCTTGTTAGAGGGTGTTAATTTCAACATTTACTATTACTATTATTATTATTTTTACTACTACTACTAGTATGGTTCAGTACTGTTTTTGTTAATAAAGCACTATTTTAGTTTTTGTTCAGTATCAATTTTAAAACAATCGGTTAATTAATCGGTATCGGCCAGTGTGGTCCAACCTAGCTATCGGTATCGGCAAAATCCACTATCGGTCGACCTCTAAAAAAAACCCTTTCCCTGAGATTAAATACGAATGTTCCATAATATGATTCTGTTATTCCCATGTTGTGTGCCAAAAATGTGCAGTTTCCCTGAGGTTAATCGAGAATGCAATGTCACTATAAAGGCATCTATATTTCTATATTTCCTTTTTCTGATTGTTAGAACTAAATGGGCTGTTTTTGTCACTGTACCTTTAAGATATGTAAATGAGCTCCTTTGCGATTAGCCAACCTCTGTGTGCTGTAAAAGTTCACATGCAAACTTTCGTATCCAAGAGAGCAAGAAATCATCACGTGTGTGAAAATCGCTAAAAATGTCTGATTTCTGCAAAAAAAACTGCCAATGTAAATGCATCTATCTGTCTCAACCCTTTTGCTGAACCTTAGAATGAAACAAGCTGTTTTTTATTTTTGGTACTGTACCTTTAAGATATGTAAATAAGCTTTGTTGTGAATAGCGTACTGGCAAACTTCACGCAAACTATCATTTTGTGATGAAGACAACAATAAAAATTGTATCCATAATATGACTCTTTTCAAACCACATCGCTTGCCAAAAATGCGCAAAAATGTACCGTTAAAATTAAACTGGCTGTTTTTGTTACTGTACCTTTAAGACATGTAAATGAGCTCTGTTGTGATTAGCCAACCTCCACGTACTTCACATGGAAATTTTCATCTTAGAGAAAGCAAGAAAAAAATCTGTTATCCATGATTTGTCTCTTTTCATCCCACGTTATTCGCCATGAATGCGCAAATTTTCCCCAAGGTTAAATGCAAACCTTAAAATAAAACGGTCCGTTATTGATACTGTATGTTTAATATATGTAAATGAGCTCTTTTGCGATCAGCTAACCTTCACGTACTGGCGTACTTCATGTTAAATCTTGTTTACTAACCAAGAGAGCATGAAAAATATTGTTATTCATAATATGACTGCTCATCCCGTATTGTTCGCCAAAAACACGCAAACATTCACCGAAGGACATCGGAGAAATCGATTGAGAATAAGGTCCCTTCTGGGGAAAACCGTGTGGGTTTAGATGTTCTGGAATGTGGATGAGTTTAGTGGGATAGGGTTTTCATCTGCGTCTCTCATCACTCGGGCCGTTTCGGATCCAGATGGGCAGCGAAATGCTCTTTGTAGGAACATCTTAGCGGCGGAACCGACCATGACCTCGTGCTGGGGAAAGTTGAAGTCATCGCAGTCGAATTGAAAACACTTTTGTTGGCGGTCAAAGTCGGAAAACGTGGCGAAACAATCTAGCATATAAACACAACACAGCTTCACATGTAAAGAGCCAAGAAAAAGTTGGACGCGGCTGTAGTTTGAGCGGAACTCACCTTCCAGAAGTTGTCCACCTTGCCGTACACCAGCGACTGGTTTTGCCGCTTGATGTCGTCGATGTGCTTGACGTCGCTGGCGTTCAGGTGCTGCTCCACCACGAAGCCCAGGAAACTGTTGTCTGGAGTGTGAGCTGCAGGGTAAACACAACAACCAATCAGACGAGGCCAGAGAGCTCCAGCCAATCAACATAAACATGAGAAACCCACCATCAAGTTACTTTGGTTTATATAAATGAAATATAGTTTCTGCCAACGTTTGAAACGCAATTTAAAAAGAACAATATGTGGAAGAAAAAAAATTATAATACACACTTCACACTCTCTTCCCACATAATACAAATTTAAATTTAAACTCAAATCAATATTTTATATGCATTAGTTATTTAATGCATATGCATTAGTTATTATCATAAAATAAGACCGTCTGACTGTATTATCTATTGCGTATTATAACTATGTCTAATTATTAAAGCAATAACTGTTAAAAAACACACATACATTAAGACAAAAGTCAATTATATAATTAAGGCTGGTTTAAAAAGAAAGATTTATAGTATATTTTTAATAAATGTCATGCTGGGGCCTGTCACATGTTTTAAAGGTAAATACATTTATATTTAATAAAAAAAAAAATTACTCTTTAGCATTTTGACTGTTTTATTAATTATTTAGTTTCAAAATCATTTGAGTTTAAAATTTTTGATATAAAGCTTACAATAAAAATTGTTAGGTTGTGACAACATGTCACGTTTCAAATGTTAAACATAAAATGTGTTAAATTACAAATGTGTTGGCCGGACATTTTTTTTATGATAAATAAAAAGGTCAGGGCACGATGTTTTACATTTTACACATTTATAAAATGTATTAAACTACAAGATTTGTTGGCCAAACAAAAAAGTTCTTTAAAAAATTATATAAAATACATTATATTTTTGTACATTATCCTTAACAGTTTTGGCAGTTTCATTAATTACTAGGTTTCATAATCATTTTAGTTTTTACATTTTAATAATAAAAACATGTCGGGTTGGAGAAATAATTTTTTTATAAAATTATATATTTATAAAAAATTTAAATGTTTTTTGTACATTACTCAACAAATTTTTGCTGTTTCTGTTATTACTACGTTTCATAACTGCTTTAGTGTATAACAAAAAAAAATGTCAAGTTGGGGCAAGATGTCACATGATTTAAATTACTCTTATAAAATGTTAAATTACAACATTTGTTGGCTATAAAAGTTATTTAAAAATTATATAAATATATCATATTTTTGTACATTACTGTGTTTTTGTTTCTAAATTTTGATAAAAAACCTAGTCTTTTCAATGGCAGGTTCCACTTTGACAACTTGCCCCATATAATGTGACAACATTCTCCACCATTTATTTATTTATTTTTCTTTTTTGAAGATTAAAAAATTTAAGGCATGTTTCTATAAAGAAACTGACATAAAAAAAATAAAAAAATAAAATACATTATTAATCAAGCAAAAAGTATAAATACAAAAACAGAGTTTTTTTTTTTTTATTCTAAATATTATTGCTTTTTAAACACAGGAAAATCTATGATCAAGCACGACACATCAGGACTGGAGTGCCTGAGGGAAGATGTTCGGATTAATTGTGTATGAGAAAGATCCGTGTGGGTGTCCACATTGCCAAGCGAGGAGCTGTTACCATGACAACGGTAGTCCAAGAGGTCGCCAGGGTAACGAGGCTTGGCAGAGATACACCTGAACGCCATCTGTCAGAAAAATTCAATCCTGAGATTAAGATTTCTTATTTACACACACACCTCAAATGCGTGTGTGCACACACGTGTGTAGTCTGTGGTTACTGCCTGCGGGAGCAGCTGGAGCATGTTGTCACGGTTACCCGTCAATTCCAGTGCAGGATGAAATTCAGAACCCAGGCAGACCATAATGCAATTTGCACAGTTTTGCAGAAACCATATATGGTGTTTAAATGGAACACGGCCTCTTGTTCTCCTTCTCACTATAGATACTGTAAATAGCGCAAATATGCTTGAACGAGAACACACACACACACTCATGCCAACAACTATCGGTGTGAACGAAGACCGGACACTCTTTCTGAAATTTTTGCACCAAGAAAGAGGAAGGCTTGTCACTGAATTGCAAAAGACGAGTCTAGACCTCACATTACATGCACTCGGAGCCCTTCAGAAGAGCGTTTCGCAACACAACGCAGCAACAGCATGCAGGAATGCTGAGGAGACAAATTGCACAGTTTGCAGGTGGCGTCACCAAGATGCTGTCAGTAATTACCAAGAATGCGGGAGTTTGTGTGTGTGAGAGAGTTCTTATTAAATCTAGGAGTGGAAGCAGAGGAGTGGAAAAGAATGAAACCTCACCATATTACACACACACACACACACACACACACACACACACACACAGAGAGAGAGAGAGACGTATCCCGTCACTGCAGCGGCTTTCATCTGTGATAGACATCTTATCCTGATGAGTTTCACACACTCATGTGCTTCGTTAAACGCGGATTAGTTTCTGAAGGACAAAGCTTCATTCTTACATGAAAACTGACGGATAAAATTATCTCATGTGTGTGCAAAGTGTGCTGGATTTGGAATTAGCAACAGATTAAACATGGACTGCTTCAAAAGAGGCCCTCCCCCATAAAAAAATATATTCTTATAATATATAATATATCCACACACAAACACACACACACACACATATATAATTAAATGTATTGTTTACATATGCACAAAATATATTTTCTTGAGAAATAAAGTCTTGAAAATGACTTTTCACTTTTTCTTTTTCACTTCATTATTAAATATGTATTATGTACATATATTTATTATTATAATTGTTATTAAAAATAATTATAATAAAAGTTGAATAATAATATGCAAATGAAAAATAAATGTGTAAATATATAATTTATATTCTTATATTTATTTATTCTACTATAATTACACTTTAATTTATTGTGTATATATATATATATATATATATATATATATATATACACTGTATATAATTAAACATTATATACACATTAAAATAGTTATGTCCATTACTTTTAGATTGATTAATAGTTATTATTCCTGTTTATTACATTTATTTTACTATAATTTATGTATTTTTTCCACTTTCCATCCACTCACATACAATATATATATATATATATACATACATACACACACATCAGTTATCATTTTTCATTCAGCATATGGCAAACTCTGTCCTCACAATTAATAATTCAACAGCATAACCAGATGCCTGTGAAAAAACAGACTGCGACAGAAGCACTTAATTGCAGGAATGCTGAAGGAGAAGTGTTTTTAAGTGAGCGTTATGAAACGCAACACAGACTGACCCTTCCACTGACTCTGACTTTAATTATTCATCCTTTATGCAGAAATACATTAATATTTTTTACACATTTTACAGAAATTCCTCTCAGCAGCCAGGGGCGTTTTACTTTCGTTTATGAAAGGTATCTGAAAAAAAAGAAAAAGCCAACATGAAAGAAAAACCAACTTTTCTCTGTCCGTGTGTGGTGTGTGGGAGGAAGTGCCATGCAAATGACAGTAAGTTGGTTAGTTTGCATGACTGTGAAGCCCTGTGTGTGTGTTTGTGTGGTTTCTCAGGCAAATGACTGTAGCAAAAGGGAGTGCAAAATTGTCAACGAGTGTCTGTCGAACAGCAAAATGTTGTGTTTACGAGCGAGCGAATGCGTGACTCTTTCAGTCGCGGTTTCGCTCGAGAAAGCTTTCCGCCAAACCCAAAGCAGCCACAATGACGTCGTCTTTGCCTAGCAACCCCCAAAAAGCGGAACAAAAGAAATCAAATGGAAACTGAATTATTCCAGGACCGTAATGCCGTACTGAAAGCGACTTCCTCCCTCGGGCTCGAGAGCGATTCGCTCATCTGATATGTGTGGGAAGCGTTATGAACAACAGCAGCTCCAGGACGGGCGGCACGGAGGACGCTCAATCGTGAAGGAAACGGGGGCACGTCATTCTGGCCTGTCATACAGACAATATATGAGGTTGATAGAGAGCAGTGTGATGTTTATCAGCCGTGCAATGAGATACCGCAGTGCATTGTGGGATGCGTCGAGAGGACGGTGGGATAAAGGGTTTTGACTGGCAGGGTTAAGAATGGAGGGCATACACACACGTGCGCTCGCATCTGATGCAATCGCTCTTAATATTTGAAGCACAGGCTTTCCGAATGGCTGGATTTCACGAGTGCGTCTGAATCCGTGGTTGACAGATGGACAGGTAGGTTTGTGTAAGTCTGCTGTCGACGCTCATGTTCTCACAGATGCCTGCGGACACGTGGAGAGGTCAATTACACACACCTGTCAAGGGTCCGTCTTCCAAATCAAGCTCCAGGAGATCAGATACACAACACCACACACACACACTCTTGGATATGTGGTTTACGGGGACTCTCCATAGGTATAATGGTTTTTATACTGTACAAACTGTATTTTCTATCACCCTATACCAACCCTACACCTAAACCTACCCCTCACAGAAAACTACTGGCAATTTTTGAATTTCATAAAACACCATTTAGTATGTTTTTAAAGGGGTCATAGGATGCCCATTTTCCACAAGTTGATATGATTCTTTAGGGTCTTAATGAAAAGTCTGTAACATAGTTTGGTTAAAATTTCTCAATGGTAGTGTAAAAAACACCTTTTTTACCCTGTCAAAAACAGCTCTTTTCAGATCAAGCCGTTTTTGTAGCATTTTCCTTTAAATGTTAATGAGCTCTGCTGACCCCGCCCCTCTCTTCCGAGCCGCTCTCAGAGAGACTGTTTACTGTAGCTGCATTCATCGTGAAACTTGCTAATTAGCACATTATTAGGAAAGGCGATTTGCAAAGATTCATT